TTCCAGTCAGGTGTGTTGAGTCAGGTTGGAGCTAAACTCTGCAGGACACCGGCCCTCCAGGACCGAGTTTGGACAGCCCTGTCTTGGAGTCTCTACTAATGAGCTGATGACCTGAATCAGGTGTGTTTGATTAAGGAGACATGCAAAACGTGCAGTGTTGGGGTGCCTCCAGGACCAGGGTTGGGAACCACTGCTCTAACCTGTTAACTTGGGCACTGAAAAAATCCCTCATATGCACTGCAAATGGAGTATGTGTGAAACGGGCGTAACAATGAGCTTTTGTTTTGACCTGTCTTTATATGCATCTAATATTTTGTAATAAAGAGTTCCTTCACATTAAAAACTTGACATTGTTCAAAATGGGTGAAACCTGGGTGAAATACTTGGGATGAGATGTGTTTCTATTGAGCTTTTAGATTCTATTTATAAATATGCAGCATCAAATGATGTATAAATGAATAGGGATTGAATATTGGGGTAAAATGAGTGCTATAAAACTCATTATTTTGAATTAGATTTTATTTTTATATTTTCTCTAAGTATTAGTAGTTTTGTGCTTTTGTCTTTTTATTAGTTTTATTTTTTAATTTTATTCTAGTTTGTTATTTTAATACTTCTATTTATTTCATTACTAGTTTAAGTTTTTCTTTTACTTGATTTCAGCTTTAATTTTAATAAACAAAAAATAATAGTTTTAGTTAACTAACAACACTGAGTACAGCGTGTGCTACAATTACAACAGTTGGGTTATCTTGCACAAAAAGCATTTTAGAACCTTGTGACTTCTTTAAAATGACTGTAAAATGAATTTAATAAAAGCATGGTCATAATAGCCTAATATATGGCCACAGGTGATGCCTTGTCATGGATTTTAGTATTATTAATAGGGATTCATTAGTGAAGATCATTTAAATTCAGTACTAGGTTCAGTGTTTATGTGAGAAACTGACCCAGGTTGCTTAGTACCACATTTTGTCATGTTTTTATTTTTGATTTCGCCATCATCAGCCAAAATATGCTGTAATTATGTAAAGATATTATGTCCTTAGATGGAAAAAAGTTAATATTGTGACAGACTATCAGCCTTTAGTTTGCCGTGTGATTCCTTAATGCAGCTTTTGTCTTTCTGTAGCTGAACTAATATGCTTTGAAACTTGCATGTTTTTAGTGTAACAGTATTAGAATTTTTATCCCGGGTTAAGTTCCCTTCTCTTTAATGAAGTGTAGCACAGTTGTATGAGAGCCTCTGCCTGAGTCTCCTCTGTGTTTCTGCTTTGTCTAGGCAGATGATGACCCCATCATGGGATTCCATCAGAGCTTCATCCTGAAGAACATTAACGAGGCGTGGGTTTGCACCAATGACATGTTCCGCCTGGCGCTGCACAATTTTGGTTAAACGCCCCATGGCTAGCAGGAAGGAAGTGGGGGAAGGTGGAGGATGGGGTTCCGCCCTGATGACGCCCGAACCTGTCAATCAGCCCTTCATTCATCACACTCAAGAGAAACGCCAGCGGATTACAGCAGTCAATCACAGAAAACATGCAGGCATATACAGTACTGCCTCTACTCCAGAAATGACATGTTTCTTTGCTGAAAGCCCACACATCCATCAAACTGACCCTTTTCCTTCGCCAACCTGCATGATGATGGGGAGCTTAAATATCAGAGGACACCCTGACCAGGACAAATACGTATTACCCTAACCTCGGCTGTTTGATATTTACATTTTAGTTGCTGATTTTGACTTTGAAATAACAACAGTCTTACTTTCTTTCTTTCTTCTGAAGTGTGTTCAGCTTGTTTTTAGAAAATGCTCATTGAAGTTTCATCTCAACAACTTCATTGTTTTCGCCCCACTTGAAAATTGGTGTGATGTCAGGTTGCTCTAGCTATCCAAAGAACACCACCCTAATTTCCCCTTCCCCTCAGACCAGTGTGCTTCCCACTTTCTGCTCACTGCTCTCTGTGACAATAATTTCCAAGCCACGATACACAATAAAACCTTTGACTTTTTCTTAACAACGTCATCATCTTGTTCATCCCCCTGTCTGGTTTTGCGTCTACCTTTTTTTCCCTTTTCTATGCTTGCTTGTTTGTGTTTTTGATACTGCCTCATATTAGATTCTCACAATAAGATTATAGATTTATTTGAGCAGAGCAGAAAACAATGGAGCTGTTATTTCTCTTTTTACAGGTGGCCAGTGTTTCCTGAAGCAGTTGTTTAGACTTTAAAAAATTATGTTGGTTTATTTGGTAGAACATTGCTATTATTAGCAAAGGATTACATGTCATTATTTTGCCAAATTGTTCCTAACCCTAAAAATGGTAGAATCAGAAGTGGATGCTCTTGTTAAAAAGAGCAAAAATCATAAGCATCCGCCACTTATGCCACATAAATAAAACAAGTTTTGCTAAGGTTAAGAAAGCGTTTGTAACAAGAAAAAAATAAGCCCAGATGAATCTTCATTTATTCTTTGATGTACCCTTTCTGAGAGGTTTTATTTTCCGTTTTCCATTGATTCAAATCTTGAAGATGTGGGATGTGATGTTTCATACGCTTGTATGAATGTAAATGTCATTTAGTTTGTAGTGTGGCCAAAGCTGTTATTACCTTCCATATTTAGGCTTATGCTTTGACATTTTCAGTATAAGAAGGATCACAGACACAAAGCCTGAAACATGACTAGTTGTGGGAAAAAAGATGACTATTTTCTCATTTCCACAAAATGTTTACACTAAGGGAGTTATGTTCATTGTTTAGGATTAGAAAATCATATTCACAAAATATGAAGGCCTTTGTGCCAAGCGATGGTACAGATATTTTAGAAAGATGTCTTCTGCGTTGTAGCTTTTTGCACTGAAATATCTAGACAGATCTGCTAGAACATCAGTATAATGAGTCACATTCTTGCATTATATTTTTGCTGGAATACATGTATTGTACACGTACTTCATGCTTGCTTGACCCTGCAGATATCCACTTTCTCTGTGGTTTAAGGGGAAGAGCAAAAGAAGACTTGATTTTCCCAACAAAAGCAACAGTGATACAATGTGAATACAGTAAGAGACTACTTCAGCTGCCTACATGTATGTGGAAATAAAGGAGATCAAAGTAAAGTGTGCTGTTATGTTATTTCTATCGGTGGAGGGAATAGTTTACAACTAGTTGAAGGTGATTTTCTGACAACCACTTCTATAAAAAAAAGTAATTATAATAAGTTTAATGATTATAATAACACGCCAGTAAAACATAAATATGAATCTGTGATCTCTAAAATCAGATAAATTCAAGAGCGATGTAGTGCCTGTCAAGTTAGGCGATTCACTCCGGAACGGAAGAAATCTTGCCAGCAGAGGCGGGGGAATGAAATGCAGGGAACGCTCAACGGAAGTTGACGGACGATTTTAAGCTTTTATGAGGGTTGAGTTCAGACACAAAATTAAACTATTGAGAATTTGATAGTTTCCAGTGATTTAATCCCCCCTTCCCTACTCTATGGCTTCTGGTTCCAACATGGACATAGAGGGCGCGACCCAGCACCTTCGGGACATCTTAAAACTGGATCGTCCCGGTAATTCGGCCGGTAAGTTGCCGGGGAAGGGAGCCGTTGCTGAAAGCCCACACATCCATCAAACTGACCCTTTTCCTTCGCCAACCTGCATGATGATGGGGAGCTTAAATATCAGAGGACACCCTGACCAGGACAAATACGTATTACCCTAACCTCGGCTGTTTGATATTTACATTTTAGTTGCTGATTTTGACTTTGAAATAACAACAGTCTTACTTTCTTTCTTTCTTCTGAAGTGTGTTCAGCTTGTTTTTAGAAAATGCTCATTGAAGTTTCATCTCAACAACTTCATTGTTTTCGCCCCACTTGAAAATTGGTGTGATGTCAGGTTGCTCTAGCTATCCAAAGAACACCACCCTAATTTCCCCTTCCCCTCAGACCAGTGTGCTTCCCACTTTCTGCTCACTGCTCTCAGTGACAATAATTTCCAAGCCACGATACACAATAAAACCTTTGACTTTTTCTTAACAACGTCATCATCTTGTTCATCCCCCTGTCTGGTTTTGCGTCTACCTTTTTTTCCCTTTTCTATGCTTGCTTGTTTGTGTTTTTGATACTGCCTCATATTAGATTCTCACAATAAGATTATAGATTTATTTGAGCAGAGCAGAAAACAATGGAGCTGTTATTTCTCTTTTTACAGGTGGCCAGTGTTTCCTGAAGCAGTTGTTTAGACTTTAAAAAATTATGTTGGTTTATTTGGTAGAACATTGCTATTATTAGCAAAGGATTACATGTCATTATTTTGCCAAATTGTTCCTAACCCTAAAAATGGTAGAATCAGAAGTGGATGCTCTTGTTAAAAAGAGCAAAAATCATAAGCATCCGCCACTTATGCCACATAAATAAAACAAGTTTTGCTAAGGTTAAGAAAGCGTTTGTAACAAGAAAAAAATAAGCCCAGATGAATCTTCATTTATTCTTTGATGTACCCTTTCTGAGAGGTTTTATTTTCCCTGTTTTCCATTGATTCAAATCTTGAAGATGTGGGATGTGATGTTTCATACGCTTGTATGAATGTAAATGTCATTTAGTTTGTAGTGTGGCCAAAGCTGTTATTACCTTCCATATTTAGGCTTATGCTTTGACATTTTCAGTATAAGAAGGATCACAGACACAAAGCCTGAAACATGACTAGTTGTGGGAAAAAAGATGACTATTTTCTCATTTCCACAAAATGTTTACACTAAGGGAGTTATGTTCATTGTTTAGGATTAGAAAATCATATTCACAAAATATGAAGGCCTTTGTGCCAAGCGATGGTACAGATATTTTAGAAAGATGTCTTCTGCGTTGTAGCTTTTTGCACTGAAATATCTAGACAGATCTGCTAGAACATCAGTATAATGAGTCACATTCTTGCATTATATTTTTGCTGGAATACATGTATTGTACACGTACTTCATGCTTGCTTGACCCTGCAGATATCCACTTTCTCTGTGGTTTAAGGGGAAGAGCAAAAGAAGACTTGATTTTCCCAACAAAAGCAACAGTGATACAATGTGAATACAGTAAGAGACTACTTCAGCTGCCTACATGTATGTGGAAATAAAGGAGATCAAAGTAAAGTGTGCTGTTATGTTATTTCTATCGGTGGAGGGAATAGTTTACAACTAGTTGAAGGTGATTTTCTGACAACCACTTCTATAAAAAAAAGTAATTATAATAAGTTTAATGATTATAATAACACGCCAGTAAAACATAAATATGAATCTGTGATCTCTAAAATCAGATAAATTCAAGAGCGATGTAGTGCCTGTCAAGTTAGGCGATTCACTCCGGAACGGAAGAAATCTTGCCAGCAGAGGCGGGGGAATGAAATGCAGGGAACGCTCAACGGAAGTTGACGGACGATTTTAAGCTTTTATGAGGGTTGAGTTCAGACACAAAATTAAACTATTGAGAATTTGATAGTTTCCAGTGATTTAATCCCCCCTTCCCTACTCTATGGCTTCTGGTTCCAACATGGACATAGAGGGCGCGACCCAGCACCTTCGGGACATCTTAAAACTGGATCGTCCCGGTAATTCGGCCGGTAAGTTGCCGGGGAACGGAGCAGCTAGGCCGCGGTGAGATGATGCTGCGCAGCGCTGGATTTCAGCGCGAGCCACCTGACTACGGTCGCTCAAAAACGCGGGACAGCGCTAACTATGTTTTATAAGTGACAAACCTCATGTTTTGTGTATTAATGTGATTGAATAAAAGGAGGGGTAATGTAGCATGTAAGGGCTAAACTCGCAGCTGCTTTGCCCAGACAGAAAGAGTTTAGTATTAATTGCGACATGAGCATAAATGGTATTCAAGAGTTTAATGCATTTTATATGCATCGGTATGCAGTGACTTGATAACCGTGACATAGGTTTCTGAGAGAAGACGTGTCAAATCAAAAAGACGGTTTCAAAACCTATTCTACTTTTTGCATTAACGTTACAAGGTTTTGCCTTGTGTTAAAACAATACTTATACAATATGTTACACACATCGTATTTATCATGTATGCACACCTCATATATATATATATACTTATATATTTATTTATTTATTTTGAAAAAAAAAAACAATATTGGAAGGGAAAATGTAAGTCATATTAGTTGTATTGAAAGTCATTAAAGTAATAGTCAGAGAGTGCACCAGTGCATTTTTACGACTTGATTTATCAGTCATTTCATTCCACAGAGCCTTCTTTGGTAGAGAGCCAGAGAAAACCATCTTTCAATGGAGAGTTGAATGGCATTCTTGGAGCGGATCTTATTGGAGCAGGAGGACTTGCGACAATGTTGGAGCCAACTGCTCACAACTTAGACAAACTTAATGGACAGGACACACAGACTATGTATGTTTTGCTGTCATTAACACTGTATATTATGTTCAACGCATTCTTTAGCAAACCATTAATGCTATCATATTGTCATTATCTTCTTATGAGCTGTAATTATTTTATATACTAGACTTAAAATGTTTTGCTTTATAATATTTACACTACCATTCAAAGGTTTGGGATCTATACGATTTTTAAATGAGTCTCTTATGGTTTGTACTTTTAATATTGTTTTCTATTTTAATATATTTCAAAACTAATTTATTCCTGTGATGAAAAAGCAGAATTTTCAGTAGTTATTTTCCGCAGTTATTTTTCAATTTTCAGTTATTACTACAGTCTTCAGTGTCACATGATCATTCAGAAGTCATTCTGACATGCTGTTTTGGTGCACAAGAAACATTTTTTTCTTATTAATGTTAAACGACAGCTGTGCTGTTTAATATTTTTGTGGAAACAGTGATGAATAGAGAGTTCAAAAGAACTGCATAGAAATCTTGCAGTAGAAATGTTTTTGTAACATTTGTCTATATATATAAGAGCCATTAGAGGTCTTTATATTTGTTTTTGGTTTTTTTTGGTACCAGCTGCCTTTCAGGAGACGATGGATCCACCTGTGTCCCCATCAGAGCAAACAATGTTGAAATTGTGTCCAGTCGTGACTCTAGTATTGACAGTAAGGCTCGTGGCAGCAACAAGGTGTGTAAATTAATGAACTTGTGCAAAACTCTTTATTATTAGCAGTTCAGGGATTCACTGTCATTGAAAACCTAGGAAAATCATTGAATTTGTATTTGGTGTTTCCAGGTGTGGAAAGTAATTTGAAAGTAATAAAATCGTGAAAACAATGGAAATTTCTAGTCGGTAAAATCTTCCACTAGTGCTCAGTTATGAAAAATGTACTTGGCTAGAAATCCTTATATAATGATTTTTTCAAAAATGAACTATTGGAAAATAGTCAAAATGAGTGGAAGCCCTGGAAATTGTTTTTTGCTCTCTAAATCTTTTCCTTATGACTTTTCTTATAGGTTAAAATTCAGCCAGTGGCCAAATATGACTGGGAGCACAAGTACTACTATGGCAATTTAATAGCCGTGTCCAACTCATACTTGGCTTATGCCATCAGAGGTCAGTTTGCACACTGTCTTGGTCCATGGCTCATTTAGTACAGTCCTTTGAATAAAATGTTGATGGGATTCAGCTGAATGGTTTGTAATTGTTTTTCACTCACAGGCGCAAACAATCATTCTATGATCCGAGTGCTGCGGTTGGGATCAACCGAGCGTTCGCTGCTGAAGGGCTTCACCGGTGCAGTCACAGACCTTGCTTTCGCCCACTTGGACTCCACCCTGTTGGGCTGCGTGGATGAGGCTGGAAACATGTTCATTTGGCAGCTCACTAGCCACAGCAGCAAAATACAGTATCCTCTGTAGATTGAACAGGAATTATGATAAAGATTTTTCACGTTTTGTTACTAAATCATCAAGAACAGCAGGTTAATGAGATTCCTGAAAGTTTTAGACCAGTAACGTTTTTTTTTAATACAAAAAGAGTCAAATTGAAAGGTTGTAATATTTATTTTCTTTATTTCTCAAAACAAAAACATCTGGATCTACATGTGTTGTAGTATAATGCTAATTAGCAGGTGAACTCTGCTGTTTCTCCTTAACATTGATGTTTCTTAGCGATGAAGTGATCGTTCACATCCGAAGGCCTGAGGACACCCCACTAAATTCCAACCGCAGACTCATCTGGTGTCCCTTCATCCCGGAGGACAATGATGAGAACCCAGAGGATGCGTGTCAGACACTGGCACTCCTTCATGAAGACCGAGTACGATATCCTTGGAATTTGACCGTTTTATCACTTTCTTTCCAAAATGTCCTTATATTATTAGATTTTAAATGTTTTTAACACTATTACTCTCCTCACTGTGCTTGTAGGCTGAGGTTTGGGACCTTGACATCCTCCGATCCAATAACAGCTCATGGCCTGTGGACGCCACAGAACTGAAAGAGGGCTTCATCACCATTAGAGGACACACAGCAGTAAGTCCTGCTGCCTTTCAGCTCAATGTTGTGTCTGCAGTGTTGTATTAACTAATCAAGAAATTAGATTTAATGTAATTGCAATAGCACATAAGTGATTTATAGGGTGTGATGTTATAGGGTGTGTATTTCTATTTTTGCAGCGCATTAGTGAGGGAGCTCTGTCCCCTGATGGCACGGTCTTGGCCACAGCCAGTCATGATGGATTTGTAAAGTTTTGGCAAATCTACATTGAAGGACAGGACCAACCCAGGTACTGAGACATGATGAAATTGAACATGGTCTACTGTTCAAAATTTAGGGTCAGTAAGATTTATTTTTGAAAGATAGTAAGGAATGCCTGTATTCAGCAAGGGTGCATTAAATTGATCAAAAAGGCATTTGTAATGTTACCAGAAAATTCTATTTCAGATAAATATTGTTCTTTTGAACTTTGTTCATAAAAGAATGCAGAAAAATGTATTATGTTTTCCACAAAAATATTAAGCTCAGCTTTTTTCAACTGTTAATTGAATCAGGATAGAATAAATTCTGACAATAACATATCAGAAATGTTTTTGAGAACCAAGTAAACATATTAAAATGTTTTCTTAAGGATCATGTGACACTGAAGACTGGAGTAATGGCTGCTAAAAATCATGCTTGCCATCACATATTAAATAGAAATCTTTACATTTATTTATAGTAATATTTCACAATGTAACTTGTTTTATTACTTTTTTCCATTAAATAAATGCAGCCACGATGAGCATAAGAGACTTCTTTCAAAAACACAAAATCTTACCGACTCCAAACCAACCAAACGGTAGTGTATAAATATTAATAAATCAAACAGTGGCATGTAGCTTTAAAGTATTTCCCATTATTTAAACATTTATTGCTTTTAGTTGACAAGGAAAAAATATGCTAATATATTAATTTACAATACTCTAAATACTCTGTGTATAATAATGTTATTACATGTATATTACAAACATTTGACTGTAATTGCCACATAAATGTGTTGTTGTATTTAATGTTTTTAACATATAATCAGTTATACAGTTAATAATGATTAGCAATATTACAATAATAGTTAGATTTTTTTGTTATTGATTATACTTCTAAAGCTGTCCTATAACTAAATCGATAGCCTTGTGAAAAATGTAAGTAAACTTGCTCCTTTCGCAGATGCCTGCATGAATGGCAGCCACATAATGGACGGCCTCTTTCCTGCCTGCTCTTTTGTGACAACCACAAGAAGCAAGACCCAGAGTAAGTATGAAGTTTGTACAGTCTTCAGTGATCCCAATTCAAAGTTTTTGTCAGCATCTTAAGTCATCAGGGAATCTGACACTGGGCTTTAAGCTGTTTTTGCAGTTGTCTTTACTTGAAATTGTGTCCTATACACATGCTATGCATTAAACTTAGCCATTGATTTTCTTCTGAAGAGTTCCTTTCTGGCGCTTCCTGATCACTGGAGCTGATCAGAACCAGGAACTTAAGATGTGGTGCACAGTGTCATGGACGTGCTTACAAACTATCAGGTCTGTTCATTTCTTAATTGTTCGATATATGTTATTTGGTGTTGTTCAAGCTTGAGCATAAATATTTCTCCTCTATGGATATGATAGCTTATATTTGTGAATTTTAGAAGAACTGTGAATTTGTGTGTTTCAGATTTTCCCCTGATCCATTCAACAGCAGTGTACTACCCAGCTTGAAGGCCAGTTTGGACCTGTCTGCAGAATTTCTCATTCTCAGTGATGTTCAGAGGAAGGTCAGACTCGTTATTATTTTATATTTTATATATATATATATATATA